AATGAGGAAACAAAATGTATGGTTGCTTGCCTCTGAAAAACAACTGTTTCCTTTGCCATGAGATAAGAACTACTGGATGGTGCTTAGCTATCATTAATTAAAGATTGTACACCCATGTTTATCACGACTTTGTTCACAATAGCAAGGCATTGGAAACAACCCAGGTACCCATCAACAAACAAATGGATAGAGAAGCTGTGGTATATTCACATAATTCATATGCTGCGTTGAAAAACAAGGAACTCATGCAATAGTATTCAAAATGGGTGAGCCTGGAGGGCATTATGCTGAGTGAAATATCTCAGTCACAAAAGGACAAATACTGAATGGTGCCACTGTTGTAGAATGGGACTGACATCAGGGTTGGGGTAAGATTGAGAAAAACTGGATAAATTATGTATACTGCATTGAAACAGATGAGGGAGAAAATAATTTAAAAGCGATATATGATAGGGTATTATGGTTATCACAAGAGTCCAGAATTAAGGTTACATAGTGGCGTGAACTCAGGGCAGTGAGAGGGGTGGGGTGGGGGGGATTGTACACCAAAGAAAGAATTTTATTTTCAAAGAGGAGCAAACTGGGGGGGGGCAGGGGAGGGCTGGGCAGGGAGAAATGTGCAACAATGAATGAATGGAAATCCAAAATCTCTGTAAATGTTCATTAAAATTAATAAAAATTTTTTTTAAATGAGAAAAAAAGATTCTACAGAAGATTCAAATATAGAAATATACAAAAATATCAAATGAAGAGTGAGGAAATAGAATGGCATTTTAAAGCATCACTGACTCCAGAGTTCCTGGAGCCATGAGGTTGGATAAATCTCTGAACTAATTGCCCTGGAATAATCTTTAAACCTTAAAGCAAAAATATCTCCTGAAATCATGGTACCAAACAAAAATTTATCTTAAGCTCCTCCAATGGAGAAAGATGGGCAATCTTTCATGCAATTAACTCTGTGAAAACCTGCTGGAAGGTCAGATATGAGTCAGTTACCACTTGATGGCACACAATAGTAACAACAGCCATGACCACTGTGCTCTTTTCAAATTTATATATACAGAATTAATAAAAACAACAAAAAAATTAGACAAGAAATTTAGAGGACAGTTTCCTACTATGCATATCCATAAAAACAACTAAGTAGAAAAATATATACTCACAGAAACACCATGGAACTAGAACTGCCCACAGTGTTATCTAGCCTGCAAACTTCATAAAATCACATTACCAGGTTTTTCTATGGTGTCACTGATAGATCTGAACCACAAATTTACCAGTTAGCAGCTTAAGCCATAAACATTACACTACAAGGACAGCATCTTTGGTAACTGTTGTTGCAATCAAGTTGAAACCAACTTATAGCTGACCCTCCAGTGGGTTTTTGAAGGCACTACGTCCCACGGGAGGAGACTGCTTATCATTTTCCAGTGGAACATCTGGTGGATATGAAAAGCTCCTTAGAACTAGGCCACCAGAGTTCCAGTTAGCAGCTGAACACTTAAACACTGCACTACAATGACAGCATTCCTGCTTATTAGAGAAACACAATTTAAAAACATGTTAAGAAATGAACTCAGGCACAGCCATGTTTATTGCAGCATTACTCAACAATAGCAAAGAGATAAAAACAGCTTAGATGCATGTCAAAAATTGAACAGATAAAGTATCGTACATTCACGCAATGGAATAAGGTACAACATTCAAAATTAACACATAAAACACTATGCAATGTGGATGAGTCTGGAAGACATTATGCTGAATGAAATTATTTCAGTGACAAAGGGAAAAATACTACATAAGCCTATTATTGTAATAATAGGATTGAGAGAGAGGGAGAGGAGAATAACAGGAAAAGAATGGATAATGAATACTCACTGGAATGAATGAAGAACATTATGAAAGGAATGGACAATAAATTATGTGGATGACAATTAACAGTCATACAAGGGGAATTAAGTGGACAAAAAGGATGGAAAGTGTGCATGCATGAACGGATAGTATTTTAAAAGTTTTTTTAAAAACCCTGATGCAGGGGAGCTCTGGTGGCCTAGTGGCAAGAAACTGTACTGCAATCCCAGAGGTATGTGGTTCAAATCCGCCAGATGCTGTGCTGGAGAAAGAGGGGCAATCTCCTCCTGTACCTGTCGGATCTGATTTGACAGTACATGCACAAAATACAATAAAGGGGTTTTTTTTTAAAAAAAAACAAACCTGATGCAAGTTCACCATGAGTACTATCATTTTTAAACGTGGAAAACAGCAAGTGTCAGGGACGATGTAGAGAAGTTGTTAAAAGCTTCATACATTGCTAGTGGGATTTTAAAGTGTTGCAGTCACTGTGGAAAAGTCTGACAGTTTCTCAGAGTTAAACAGGTAAGTATCACATGATCCAATAATATCAATTCTAGTGATATATCCAGAAGAGCTGAAAACAGGTACTGATACTGAACAATGTTCACATATTATTGAGAAAATTAAATAGCTTAAATGTCTATCAACACAAATATATTTTTAAAATGTGTATGTGTGTGTAAATATATACACACAGAGAACATTACTCAGCTTGAAGTCCTAAATGCTACATCATAGGTGAATTTTAACACTGCTGCTGTTTCTAAGTATCCTATCACATAAGTGTGTTCCAATTCAAAGTGACCTGCTCTTACATAATAACAGAATAAAAGTGTGTCCAATTCAGCACCATCCTCACAAACTGTGCTATGATTAATCCCATTGTTCTAGTCACTATGTCTATCTATCTCATTTATACTCACCCTCTCTCTCACTAACCCTATACATTTTTCCAGGTATCATGTCCTTAAAGGATGGCCCCTCCTAATAAAATGGCCATGTACATAAGATGAAGTCTCACCATCCCGACTCACAAGAAACACTCTGGCTGCATTTCTTACAAAAAAAACCCCCCCACACACGTTTATTTGGATGTCATTTTAAAGACTAAGTTATGCCTGAGCCAGATCATTCTTTCATAAGCATGTGAAAGTTAGACAATGAATACAAAAGACTGAATAACTAGGGCCTTAAAGACATTGTACTGGGCCCCACCATACAGAGGACCTAGCCTCAGAGCCTGGACACCCCAACACCTAGAGGACGGCCAGGTGCTGTCCCTCTGAACACCGCAGAGACATTAATATCACAGGCGAACCCATTTCCTCTCTTCTAAACTGGAGCAACTTTGACTGGACTACATGGGATAAAAATGTGTGGCAGTTTGCTTCCAAAAAGTTCACAGACTTGGAAACCCCGTGGAGTAGTTCTAATTTGTTGGTGGTGGTGGTCTGTGGAGTCGAGTCGCTTGGGACTCATAGAGACACTATCTACAACAACCCTAAAACCTGTTCTGTCCTGTGCCAGTCACTGTTAATCCACCTCATAGAGGGCCTTCCTCTCCTGCGCTGTCCCTCCACGCTCCCAAGCATGATGTCCCTCTCCAAGGACCAGTCTCGCCTTACATGTCCAAAGTACGTATGGTTGTTACAACATAGGATCAACTTGATGAAAATAGGTTTGATTTGGTTTTGCATTGTTTATCATTATTTCTTATATTTCAGTGTTGCTGTAACAAATTATTTTCCATCTGCCTTACTAAAGTTCTTTGTTCCTTGATATTTCCTCATAATTGTCTACTGACACCAGACATCTTTTATTTTCTAGGTATATTTTTACATTTAAAAAATGGCTCCACTAAAAAATACAGTTCTAGGTTGACGATTTTCATTTGGTATTTTAAAGGCACTATTTCATGAGTAAATGGCTCCCATCATCTCTGTTTTGTAAAGTGAGCTATTACGACTGATGTAATTTCTTTGAAAAGAAAACTTTTTTCCCCTCTAGATATTAAGACCTTTTTTTATGTTTGAGTTTGATTATCCCATCAACAAATGGACAGTAACACTGGTATACTCACACAATGGAATACTACACAGCACTGAAAAACAAAGAACTTGTAACCCTAGAGGACATTATTTTCAGTGAAATATCTGTCATAAAAAGACAAATACTGGTGAGCTCTGATGGCCTAGTGACAAGAAGCTGTACTGCATTCCCAGAAGTGCACGGTTTGAATGCAGCAGATGCTCTGCTGGAGAAGGAGGGACAATCTCCTCCTGTACCAGTCAGATCTGATTTGACAGTACACACAAAAAAATAATAAAATTTAAAAAATTTTTTTTAAAAAGGACAAATACTGCATGGCATCACTGTTATAAAACAGGACTAACACGGGGAGTTGGGAGGAAATTTTCACAAGAGTGGATAATGACCATTACATTGGAACAGATGAAGGAAAGAACTGTCTAGAAGGGACATATGATTAGGTATTATAAGTATGACAACAGCCCAAAATAAGAGGTACGTTGCAAAAAGGATTGGAGGAGGGAGATGGGAAGGGAGGTGACTGTGCAACAATAAATGAGCATTTTTTTTTTAAAAAACAAAGTGCACTGGGAGTGAAGGAAAGAAGGGAGAAGGGAGGAAATGTACAACAATGAATTCATGAAAATGCAACTTTTCTCTAAACTTTCATTAAAATGAAATAGAAAAAAATTTCTAAAAAACCATGTGTGATTATAATATGTGTAATTATTGGCTTTGTTTATTTCGCCCCCAGCTTGTAGAGCTTAGAGAACTAATAGGGTTTTATCTTTCAACAAACTAACTTTCGAACATTTTATTTGGTCTCTCCTTTTTGGACATATGGTATGTGGTGGTGGTCTGTGCAGTCGAGTCGCTTGGGACTCATAGAGACATTATCTACAACAACCCTAAAACCTGTTCTGTCCTGTGCCAGTCACTGTTAATCCACCTTTTACACATATGGTAAAATTTTTCACTTTATCTATTTTCATTTATTTGTATGTAAATTGTAAATAGTGTACACTGTGTCAGTGTATCCACAAGTATACATTTATTACATACAGATACTCTGGATTGTGGAGGAGAAAGAAAGATAAAGCACAGTCTTTTCTATTTACCAGTGCTTAGGTTCACTGCAGATCTTGGAGGAGAATTTGTTTCTTCAGATTCCTCTGATGAGTGTGCCAGGAAGTCATGAAGCTTCTGTACCAAAGTATTCAGCTTGCTTTCACTAGAAAACCAAAAATTAAAAGAACTTTCTTGATTAGACTGTCATATTTAATAAGGTATAAAGCATTAATAAACTGGAAAACATACCCATACCTACATGGGAACGCTGATGACCTAATGGTATGAAGCTGTGCTGCAATTTTAAACGTACATGGTTTGAATCTACCAGCTGCTCCAGAGGAAAAGGATGAACAATCTCCTCCCTGCAATTAACGAGACTCTGAAAATTCACTAACAGTTCAGCGATGGGTCAGTTCTGACTCCACAATACATAACAGCCATTCCTAGACCAAGGAGCTGGTGTCTGAACAAAGCCAAGGGAACACTATATGATTCAAAATCAGGAAAGTAGTGTCAGAAATGTTAAGTTTTTCTCTATAAATTTAGAATCTATATGAAGAACAAATCATTTGAGAGTTTAAACTTTATGAAGAGGAATGTGATGACAAAACCTTACTCACCAAAACTGAGCAGGACTTGCAGCATTTGCTGTAGAACTTCAAGTACTGCAGCCTTCAATATGGATTGTTCTGATTATGTATTAAGACAACAAAGATCCTCACAACCTGGCCAATTGGCAATATCACAACAGATAAAAGGTTGGGGTTATTAACAATTTCCTCTTGCATCATCAGGAAACCAAAAAACAAGTTGTTTGGGGTACATATCTGTTGGTATGGACCTCTCCAGAGTGCAAAAGAGTAATACATCAGTCTGGAGAACAAGGTACACCTGATCCAGGCCATGGTCTTCTCAACTGCTTGCTATGCCTCTGAGAGATGGACAATGAACAAGAATGGCACAAGAAGAACTGATGCCTTTTGAGTTATACTACTGGAGGAAAATAGGAACATACCATAGATTACCAAGAGAACAAACAAGTCTGTGCTGGAGAGCGAAACCAGGTTGCTTCTTGGAGCTAAGAATTTTGAAACTCTGTTCTAACATATTCTGGGCATGTTGCCAGGAGGAACCAGTCCTTAGAGAAGGGTAGAAGGTCAGAGCAATAGAGGAAGACCCTAGATAAGATGGATGGACTAACAGTGACTGTGGCAATGAGGGCAGTAAGTGTTTCAGAGATGAGGTTGGCTCAGGATAAGGCAAGGTGCATAGGGTCACTTTTGACTTGTAGTCCACTCAATGGCTCATAACAATATAAATCTTCTGAAAATAAACATACTAGGGAAAAGTCGTCTTTTTCTTGTGGACTTGTTTTCATTTTCTTCAGCCTCAACTTCAACTTGCACATGAGTAATTGATGCTCTGACCCACAGTCAGCCCCTGGCCTAGTTTTGATTGCTACTATTGAGCTTCTCCAGTGATTCCTCCCACAGATGTAGTTAATCTGATTATTATGCAGCCCACCACATGAGATTCATGTGTAGAGTCACCATTGGGTTTTTTTTCCCATTGGTATCTTTTAAAAAAGGTTTTTGGAATAAAAAATAATTAAATTAAAAACACAAAATTCGATCATTCTATTTCCAGCCTCATTTATATCACCAAGGTCGTATTTTCAGACTACTATTCTTCACTGTTCCCAATGTTTTCATTCCATTCACCAATTATGATTTTGACTGCATGTTCCATCTATCTCGGAATACAAGATATGGTACAAATTTTCAATTTCTTCTTCTTTGGCAATAGATGTAGGAGTATGTATTTGAATAACAGACATATTACAGGTTTTCCTTGTATGTGTATGGATAATATCCTGTCACTCATACATTGTATTTCAGGACAAAGCTTGAAATGGTCTTTCTGACTATGAATGCAACACCATTCTTCTTCGGTTTTTCATTCCCACTATAGTAGTATCATATGATTATCTGATTCAAGTGACCCAAGCTAGTCCATCTCATTTAATCTCACTAATGCCTAGTACTTGAAAGCAGGAGTGGCATCCAACTCTATGAACTTTGATAAATTATGAGTTATAGAAAGGTTCTTTTGTTTATAGGGTTGCTATAAGTCATGTTCAACTCGATGGCAATCAACAACAACGCCTAGTATGTTGATGTTCATGCGTTCCATTTCATTTTTCACAATTTCTAGTTTTCTAACATTCAAGCTACGTACGTCCCATGTTCCAATTATTAAAGGATGTATGCCATTATTTTTCCTCATTTTGACTGACTGACAATCTAGGGTCTACCACTACTGCTGCAACTATCTGTGTTCCTCCACTGTTCATAATTTTCAGAGGCCTGTTATTTAAGAAATGGATGGTCAATCCTGCTCCCCAGTCTGTCTTAATCTGGGAGTTCTACTAAAACTTGTCCACCAGGGGTAACCCTGGTGGCATATGACACACAGGTGGCCTACCTTTCAGTATCACAGCAACCAACAAGTTATCTCAGTACAGCAAACTGACAGGTCTACCCCAACACAACAAACTGACAATTTAGTTTGTAACTCTAATTGCAAATTAGTCTTCACACAGGCCCAAGAACCACAGGCTCAATGGTCCAACCAACTTATAATCACAAAGGCCTACCCACTGAGTCCTAACTGGTTTAAACAACAGGTTCCCAGCCCACAAGTGATTGTTAATTAAATAAAAAATACCAAACAACTCACACCTGTTAATTAAATAAAAATGATCAAACAGCCCACACTTGATAGTTAAACAAACAAAAAGGACCTACCTTCCAGAATCCAACTGCTTCAAACAAGAAGCTCTCAAGCAGGCCCCAACCAGCTTTAAATCACAAAGGCCTCCCCACCAGGTCTTAATTAGTTTAAACAATACTTAATTACCCAACTGGTTTAAACATACTTACTTTGGATTAATTACTTTAAAACAAGTTACAAATTATTACCCTTGACCTAATCATCAGATATAATATACATACATGCCTATCATGAAGAATTGATGTCTTTTGAGTTGTGATGCTGGAGAAAAACCTTGAATATACAATGGACTGCCAAGAAAACAAATAGGTCTTAGGGTGAAACCAAGTTTCTCCTCAGAGGCTAGGATTTTGAAGCTCCATTTAATATACTTTGGGCAAGTATGTGGTCAGAAGGGACCCATCCTTGGACAAGGACATCCTGCTCAGAAGGGTGGAGGGATGATGCAGGAATGGAAGATGCCAGATGAGATGGACTGAAACAGTAACTAGGACAATGGTCAGTGTGTGTCAAGAGTCCGTGTGATTGGCTGAGGACAGGGCAGGCTTCAAAGCTGTTGTACATAGGGTCACTATGAGTCGCAGGTGACTCATCAGCACAAACAACAAAAACAACATCATCATGATAATATGTTAAAAGAAATCACTAAAATTCTGGTGGAACACAAATATAATTTAAGACTAAATTCCAGATTCTCAACAAAAACCTTGCCTGAAAAAAAGCAATGGTCAGAAATAAAAAATCCTGAAAGAAAGAAAAAAAAAAAACCCAACTGGGAAGTAAAAATTCTATACTCATAAAAAATGTCCTTCAAATACAATGATGACATTATGACACTTACACAAAAAGAAAACGTGAAAGAATTTTTGAAAATACTATTTTTTTTTTCACTCTTCTGTTTATTGTTGACAAAGAGGGCTTTAAATACCTTCGGAATCAATTATATTGTTGAAAATATATACAACTAAACAGTTTCTCCATGTACAACACAGGTCATTTATTATATTCTTCAATTGTGCAACCCTTTTCCCCCTTTTATTTGTACTGCTTTGCATGTAATTATTCAGATACAGTGTTTTATGCATGTGCACTGTGTTTTATACAATCCTTCATTTTCATGTTTCCTTCATGTACACTGTTTTATACAATCATTCATATACACTGTATGTTACAGAACTGATTACTATTCATCTATACCTTTCTTTTCAAATGCACGTTCAATCTCTCCTTTCAACTCCACCCCCCAATCTTCCCACTAAACTCTACTATCCTAGTAATCTCCCTCTTTATCCTTTTTCAGCCCCCTTATCCTTTCTCAATCCCCTTTTTAATATTTTTTCCCAGTAATGGTCTTATGCAGTATTAGTTCTTATAAGACTGAGATATTTCATTCAGCATAATGCTTTCTAGACTCCCCTACATTATATAGTATTATACAAAATTATTGTTCCTTAGTGCTGCATAATACTCCACTGTACGAATGTATCACAATTTCTCAATCCAGTCTAAGGTTGATGGGAATTTGAGCTGTGTTCATTTCCTTGCTATTGTGAATAATGCCACTAGGAACATAGGTTTACAGAAAATAAGAATCATCTTGGGAGCACTCTGGTGGCACAAAGTATATAAAGAGTTGCACGGTTAACCCAAAGGTCATGCATCTCTGGCACATCTCCACAGTAAAGACAGGCAATCTCCTCTAACAGGATTTACAGCTTCAAAACCACACCCAACAATATACTAAAAAAATTTCAAAATTGAAAATAAAAAAAAGACAACCCAATTTAAAGGTTTAAAACAAAAACTATGAATATACATTTATGCATAAACACAAAAAGGTCAATAGTAAACAAAGAGATGTTGAAAATACTTAATCATTACCAGTGCCATTCTGTCTCATGGTGACTAACGTATGTATGAGTACTACCGTTCTGCTTAGCACTTTGAATGGCTGATGTTTTAGAAGTAGATCACTAGATGGATCTTAACCTGTATCCAATGTAAACCCACATATGATTAGAAGCATTAGCCATCTGCAAAACTCAGGGACTCCTATTGGTCATTGTTAAGGGTCAGCAAGTCAATTGTGACTCACAGCAACACAATGAAGATTAAGTGTCATCAAGCTGGCTGTATTAAGAGCCATCAAGATTAAGCTTGCTCTCAATGAAGAGCAAATCTGTACTCTATCCTGTGTCATCCTCAGAATCTCTGAAATACTAGAGCCCACTGTTACAGCCACTGTGTCAATACATCTTACTAAGGGTCTTCCTTTTGTTAACCCTCCACTTTTCCAAATATGTATTTTTCCCAAGGACCAGTCTCTCTTACTACCATGTCTAATATATCTTAGACAAAGTTTC